AATTGATGTCCAAATCACAAGCCTAGACTACTCCTAAATTCCCATTGCTAATAGTGTAACCACTAAAAAATAAATAAATAAATAAATAAATAAATAAAAATCAAGGCATAGAGATATGGCTAAAAAAGCCAACAGATAAGTCAAAATACAATTAAATATTTAGTTAACCCAAAAAGAAGGTGGGAAAAGAGGGGCAAAGAATAGAAAACAAAAGGGGAAAAACACCCAACCGTATCAATATTACATTAAATATAAAGGACTAAACATTTCGATTGAAAGAGAGTTTCTCAAACTGGATAAAATCAAGCTAGTCTTTATATATGAAAACATAGATTGGGGCGCCTGGGTGGCGCAGTCGGTTAAGCGTCCGACTTCAGCCAGGTCACGATCTTGCGGTCCGTGAGTTCGAGCCCCGCGTCGGGCTCTGGGCTGATGGCTCAGAGCCTGGAGCCTGTTCCCGATTCTGTGTCTCCCTCTCTCTCTGCCCCTCGCCCGTTCATGCTCTGTCTCTCTCTGTCCCCAAAATAAATAAACGTTGAAAAAAAAAAAATTAAAAAAAAAAAAAAAAAAAAAAAAGAAAACATAGACAAGCTGGAAGAAAATGAGATGCCAGGCAAAAAGTAAGCATAAAAAGACATATTAAAATTGGTAGACTTCCAGACAATGAGTTTTTTCAGTGATAAAGGACATTTAATAGTGATAAAAATGTCAATTCATCAGGAAGATATAGCTAGCCATCATAAATTTGTATGCACCCACATCGGAGGATAAGACCTCAGTGAGGATAAACTTAAAGTCTCAGCCATGGGATACTGTGTACTGGGAGTGGGGTTTAGCCCCAGCAGCTGGTACAGGATTTGTGGGTCCCCTGTGGGCTTGGAGTTGCTCTGCTCATAAAGTTTCAGGAGTGACCCGAGTCTAGCTGAGATAACCAGAAGGCATGAATAAACCAGGGTCCCTAATTTGGAAGCAAAATATGGGCCAGCTGGCTCTCGGGCATGCCACGGAACACCGGGCCTTCGGACTGCGAGCCCTCACCTCCGCTTCTCACCGTCAGCCTGGGAGGTCTCACAGACACCCTGGAGAGGGACAGGTCTGCCCACTTAGCAGGAGCCGTGAGGCCCTGGTCCTGCCTGCCACTGAGCCTCATGTCCTCTCCTCCCTCACTCTGAAACCCAGCCATGGCTTCCGTCAGGCTAAGAGTATGTACTGTTTCCAGCACACAAACGGCTGGTAAGCCCTTCTTGACCTTTATGCCTGCTCCTGCTTCGAGGCTGGCTCAGCAGGGGCAGCTGGGTGTCTCAGTCGGTCAAGCGTCCGTCTCACGGTTCCACGGGTTCGAGTCCCGCATGGGGCGCTGCGCTGACAGCGCGGGGTCTTCTCGGGATTCTTTCTCCTTCTCTCTCTGCCCCTCCCCCACTCACGCTGTCTCTGTCTCTCAAAACAAGTAAGTAAACTTAAAAAAAATTAAAAAGAACACCTGGGCTCAGCAGCTGAGAGATAAACAGAACGACAGCTGTGCTAAGTGAAGGTGAATCTTGAGGATCAAGGGAGTGAGTCAATAAGTGACCAGACGATTTAAGGGAGAGGGAGGGGACATCGAGTGGGGACTGGCAATCCCAAGATGGTGGGTTCAAAGTACCCATTTAGGTTCGATTCAGGTTGCAGGTGGGTGACAGGAGTGACTGGGAAAGACAGGAGATGCTGGTCAGATTGTGAGCTGTGACACTGAGACATCAACAGCACACAGTCTGCTTCACGCTGTTATCTTCCAAGGCGTTAAATGTTTCACTTTAAAATGGACAACGTATTCACCTAAATGGTACCAAGTCCCTATTTTTCCTCTAGAGCAGTTGAGTGGCGTTTCGATAACGAGATTGTCTCGTATCCCCAGGAGCGGCCTTCTAGCAGTTGGGTGACTTAAATGCTTGTCATTCTGAAAGGGCAGTGACTGACCAGGCCCCGGACAGCCTGGGCTTCCTACACAACATCCCTAAGCTCTGACCAATCTGGATGAAAGATAAAGCTCTACAGCAATGAAGACAGGAATGGGGCTTTTGCTTTTAGGGTATATTCCTTACTCTTTAATATAATAAACTGCCTGGGGCGCCTGGGGGGGCTCAGTCGGTTAAGCGTCCGACTTTAGCTGAGGTCACGATCTCGTGGCTTGTGGGTTCGAGCCCCGCGTCGGGCTCTGTGCTGATGGCTCGGAGCCTGGAGGCTGCCTCCGATTCTGTGTCTCCTCCTCTCTCTGCCCCTCCCCTGCTCATGCTCTGTCTCTCAATAACAAATAAATGTTAAAAAAAATTTTTTTTAATGTGTATATAATAAACTGCTAAAATTCTTCTTGGATAGTCTCTGGGACAAATGAGTTGCATAATAAGATTTTCAAAAGTCCCTCCAAACTGGCTCTGGCATTGAAAACGAAAGCAGGAAACAAAGCAAGTTTGAAAATCAACAGAACCTACCGGTGACACGGCCTAAGCCTACAAGTTAAAACTAGGGCGCGTCTAAGGACGGCCTCAGAAACTGAAATGTTGGGAGCTGAGACGTGATGGTCACCTGGCTTTGGACCAGTGGTCACTTCCCTCCTCCTGCTCGCAGATCTTTACAGTAAGACACAAAAGCCGTTTTTCAAAATTCTGAGTCTGTGGAGCCTTCCCCCCAGTAGTAACTGCCTCTTCTGATCTCTGCAGGCTGGGGTCGCGGTCCCCGAGGCGGACCCCAGAGAGGCCCGTCCCCAGCTCTGTCGAGAGACAGCACCGTCTGAAGCTCCCTCAATAAGGCGGGCCGCCTGCTGGCCGGCACGGGGCTGCTCTCGGTGGCCACCTGGCTCAGCATGAGGCCTGCAGGGAAGGGGTGGGCAGGAGCCACTGGGCACACTCACGGCCTGCCGGCCTCTAACCTCCGGGTGCACTGCGGGCACGGGCGCTGCACACGGGCGCAGTCCGCACGGGAGGCGCGCACTTCTCCCCAGGTCCGCGCTCTCACTTGAGGGCTGCCCCCGTCACAGTGCCTAGTGCTCCCGGAGCACGGTATCCCCAAAATGAGGATCCAGGCCACCTCTCCAGAGTTTCAGAGTGAGCATCAAGTTGGCCTCTCCTGGTGAATTTTTTTTCATCTTTGAAAAAGTTTCATGATTTAAGTTTATTCATTTTGAGAGCGTGCGAGTGGAGGAGGGGCAGAGCGAGGGAGAGAGAGAATGCCAAGCAGGAACTCACAAACCACGAGATCACAACCTGAGCTGAAGTCGAGTCAGACGCTCAACCGACTGAGCCACCAGGTGCCCCCTCATGACCCGTCTTTTATTCTCCGGGGCCTAGAATAGAGCCTGGCACGTGGTGGCCAACAGGGGTTCGTAGGCTGAATGGGGTGAACGTGCAACAGACGTAATCCAGATCGTTCCTCGTTCTGTCCTGGCGATTACGCATTATCAACGCTAAGCTTGGACTGCAACTGCCACTGTTTCCCTGCTTTTCTGCTAATAATCCTTCTTAGTTTTTATTTGGGGCTCTTGGACTTTTGGCTTTATTATAGCTCATCTTTCATTCTAAGTCCCATTTCTAGAAGGAGCTTGTAGAAGTATAGGGACAAGATGGAGAAGACTTTCAGTCGCCAGTGTCCCTGCTGGGAGAACACCTGACATCTGTCAGACGGACCCACTCTGTCGCCAGCGGGCCCCACACTCCTCGGGAGCCACAGAGCTAGTAGGAGGTTTGCTGTGCCGGGTGGGCCTCCACTTGGGTCCCTCCACCCTGATCCGAGATTTCTGGTGGATGCTGATGAAGGCCTGGGAGTCTGAGTGCAGGGTACCTCAGGGCAGGGCAGCAAGAACGCTGAGCAGCCAAGAGGAGGGGTTGAAGTGGGAAATAAAGCACAGGGCTCCTGAATTTCCCATCTCTGAGAGCCTGGGGGTCAAGGGGGATAGGAGTAGAGAGGGTCAAGTCAATTATAAAACTGGATCTGAACTAATTTGGGAGTAAAGGCAGCACTACAAAATTATCTGCATTCCATATGCAGACATGTAGGGAGGGAGACAATTCAGAGGGTTTGGATACAATCTGACTCCAGACCCTTCACAAAAAAGAAAGTACCAGAGCTGTCCACGTCCAGCTGGACTTGTACCTGGAGGGAAAAGTATCCAGAGGAAATGTGACTATAAGGAAAACTGGTGGGGACGATAACTCAAGGCCAAAGGAGTTTGAATGACGTTATAAAAAGTTCTAGCCCCTGAGGAGAGAGCAAGTTTCAAAGACCACGGTTTCTGTAGCTTAAGAAAAACCTGTGGTGTGCCTCAGGGGGAGGAGAAAGACCAGACTCCGTGGAGGCCAAGAGATCTGGGGCCTCTGAGCAGTCGTGCGACTTCGGGCAAGTTTCTTAGCTGCTCTGAGCCGCAGGGTCCTCACCGCTAAAGAGGGGACGTCCAGAGTGCCTCCACCCAGGGCTGCGGGGGGATTAAAACGAGGCAGTGTGTCCAGGGGCACAGCACAGCTTACACGGGCTCGCCCAGTGAGCGCAAGGATGCCTTCCTTGTCCGGGCTCGCTCGCCGTCTAACGGCCACTCGTGAAACGTGCACGAGAGGTCCGCATGGCCAAGAGTCTCGGTGACACTTTTCACGGCTCATTTAGGATCCTGCGAGGTATTCTCATGCCCGTCCCCCTGTAGATACATGCGAGCAGGTATGGAATGCACGTATGACACAAGGATGGCCTCAATCTCTTGTCTAGATCTATCATCGAAACATGCTGAGTTCGCCGTCCCTGAGACGATGACTGTGAACGGACTGGTAAGGACGCGGGTCCCTAGACTAGGTTTGCATCGTAAAATGAAAGCAGGAACATCTAGATACCCTGCCTCCCGAGTCAGCCCAACTAACAGATCTTTGAAACCAAGAATGTTGGCGCCTTTACAGAAAGGAAAACCAGAGAGACTCTCGGTGCCAGGGGAGAGCTCTTTCGTCCCTAAGCGGTGCATAATGTCACGAAAATCCCCAACTCACCAGGGCTTGCAGCTTGGGACAGTGGACGGAGAGCTGGATGAGAGTGCTGTCGGTTATCTGCAGACAAACACGCTGTGTCAGTGTGGCTTCTACGCCAGAACCTAGCGCCTGATTTGGGCTTCTCCTGAACACGAGGATCGAAGGTGCAAAACGGAACTGAAAGCTCATCGCCAGCACACCCGGGCTGGGGGCTCCTCTCACTGCAGGCAACCTCAGACCTGCCCACTCGTATGGTCACTACACTGCTCTCTGGGCTCTCCCCTTGGGCCCCACGAGGGCCCAGGGACAGGGGACACACAGGAAGTAGGTAAGGACGGTCCCCCAGGATTCTCCTCTGTAGAGTCACCCCGTCACTGGACACGCAAGCTCAAGTCTCCCTTCGGCTCTGGGAAAGACGCGTATATTTCGAGGTCTGCAAACGATGGAGCTGAACGTCTCAGCTGTAGCCGGGACGGCTGGGAGGAGCCCAAAGTCCGTGCAGCCCGCTGTCAGGCCCTCGTGGGTTCCCGGGCCCCGAGACGCCACGCACGGCAGGCGGGGTGCACACAGCAGCCAGGTGGGGTGTGGGTGAGCGGCTGAGGCCCGCCGTCGGGACGGAGGGCCCAGCGCTAGCAGGGCTTGTCGAGTCTACTCACCAGAACGCATTCCTCAAGATCCATCTTCTCCAGATCGTGGCAATTCTGAAAAAGCCAATAAAACCACCCCCACCATGCGGTCAGTGGCCAGGGCAGCACTGGTGGCCCGCGCACGCGCACGCGTGCGTGTGTGTGTGTGTGTGTGTGTGTGTGTACTGGCCCCGCCTCCCTTACTCTCCTCCAGGAAGGGGCGTGCCCTGCCCCTGTGGGAACCGGCCCTGCCTCCCTTACTCTCCTCCAGGAAGGGGGTGTCCTGTCCCTAAGCTGACCCAGCGAGCCAGCACTTGTGAGCAGTGCCTTCTGAATCACACTCACTTAAACGGGAATGCGGCTGCCCTGGGCAGCCTCCTTCTCTCACCCCGAAAGGTAGTGGCCTCCACCTTCCTAGCGGCTCATGGATATCATCCTGTACATTTTAGCCACAGAAGAGGCTCTGGGAAGGCATGGGGCATGGTGCTTGGGCACAGTGTGGACAGGTGAAGGTTAGGGGTGGAGGAAGGGAGCGTATCACCATCCCCACAAGGTCACGGGTTCCCGGCAGCAGGCCAGAGGGGACCTCCATGATGGTCACGTCTGCCAGGTGAGGCGGAAAAGGGAACGGAGGCGGGGCACAGCCCACCTGGAGGAGGCACCAAGAGGCTGGGTCAGGGTGCGCGGGGGGAAGGGCACGTACCGCAGGGAGGACGTTCTCATTGTGGTCCCACCTGACCAGGTGACAGTGAGGTCTAGACTGCTCCAGGACCTCCTGCGGGGCCACCTGAGCTTTCTGGGACAATGGGGAAATGCACCCTGTGCCCGCCACTCTACTTGGTAGAATACCAACAACACCACTTGGTCAACTCTGACGGGACACGCACTTTGCACACTCCAAAACCACTGCGAGTCCTTTGGAAGTGAGGGCGGTGAATTACAGTTGGGTTTTGTTTTTTGAAAGCTCTGCCTTACCCGAGCTAGAAGTGTAAAGCCTGCGTCAGTCAAATGGGAACACCGAGCAGCCTCCAAAATCCTGGGATGCGAAGCGCACGGGAGGAAAAGGTAGTGACTGGTTAACAAGAGAAAACAAACTTTATGATGCACACTCTTGACTTTCTTCTGCTGACACACCTCCGCTTCTGGAACAGTCCTGAGGACTGCTGTCCCCTGCCCAGATGAGGGGAAGGAGGCTTAAGGAGACACGTGGCCTGCTCTACGGCCCAAAGTTTCAGCCCAAACTTGGGAGTGAACCCAACAATCCTTCCACAAAACCAGGACATTGTTGCTGCTGTTGTTTTTAAGCATTATTCCAATATTTGTTGAATGTTTTGTAAGTAGGCTCGAGCCCAACGCAGGACTCAAACTCACAACCCTGAGATCAAGACCTAAGCCAAGATTAAGAGTCAGACACCTGGGGCGCCTGAGTGGCTCAGTTGGTTAGGCGGCCGACTTCGGCTCAGGTCACGATCTCGCGGTCTGTGGGTTCGAGCCCCGCGTCGGGCTCTGTGCTGACAGCTCAGAGCCTGGAGCCTGTTTCAGATTCCATGTCTCCCTCTCTCTGACCCTCCCCCGTTCATGCTCTGTCTCTCTCTGTCTCAAAAATAAATAAACGTTAAAAAAAAAAAAAAAAAGAGTCAGACACCTAACCAACTAAGCCCCCCAGGCGCCCCCATCTAATATTTGTTGACTTTTAAACACAGTTAAAATCAGCTTTTACTGAACAAAATCATCTTGATATAGTCTGAATTTAATGAAATTCCCAGTTACCATAAAGGCAATTTTAAAAATCTGCAGCCAGTGGAAAAACATGAGTTAATTCTCAATGCCCATGCTTAACAGGGACAGGGGGATAAATAACACTCTGAAGTTAAATACTCCCTTATAGCAGTAATTTTGACCACCTTCTGACAAGTTTTGATCATCCACATTCCTTCCCCTATTCAAAAATATCAAAATTCCCCAGAATCATCCCTAATGAAAAGACAACAGACAGTCCTTAGAAGATGGGAAACTGGCCGAAACAGGGGAAATGGATCAGTTTCACCGACAAGTAAACAAGGAAAGAAGTATCTTTTTTCCGCCTCTTGCACAGGGGTTAAGATGGCCGGTACTGAGGTCAAAGTTTCAAGTTCAAACTCTACTTTGAACTTGAAAGTTCAAGTTCACGTTGAACTTGATGAGTAGGGTTGAACTTGATGAGTAGGGTTGAACTTGAAACCCTAACCCTAACCCTACTCATCACGTGACTCAGTATATTTGATTTTCCTGGAGCCCTGGTTTCTCCTCCGCCAAACAAGTGGGAATAGCAGTGCATGTCTCCTAGAGATGTGGGGAGGATCGAATGCGATAACGATACGTGAGTTCAACTGACGTTAGCGTTAGCATTTTGCTGCCATTATTAAAGTTTTAAGATTCGGGGCACCTGGGTGGCTCAGTCAGTTAAGCGGCCGACTTCGGCTCAGGTCATGATCTCGCGTGATCTCGCGTGAGTTCGGGCCCCGCGTCGGGCTCTGTGCTGACCGGTCAGAGCCTGGAGCCTGCTTCAGATTCTGTGTCTCCCTCTCTCTCTGACCCTCCCCCACTCATACTCTGTCTCTCTGTCTCAAAAATAAACGTTAAAAAAAAAAATTGAAAAGAAAGTTTTAAGATTCACAGTACTTCTGGAGAATCAGAAAACCAATCGTTTTTGTTAAAACGAGACCTCCTTCTGCTAGGGAAGATGACAGATAAAGCGACTGTGATCTCCCCCCACTTCGGTCCATTTAGTGACCGGTTTGGAGGAGAATCTGGTAACGTCTGGATGTGAGGCTATCGTGGGGACACGGTCAGGGCACTCTGACGTCAGCGGCCGGGACAGGATGGGGCAAATCAGGCGGGCACGCGGGTGAAGTCCGTCAAGAAGTTGCAGTTCAGACTTGGGGCGGCGAACTGGGTTACGCTCCGTCCCGCCCCAACCCGAGTGACGAAAGCCGCCGCCGACGCGGCCACCACCTCCTCCATCCCCACCCACGCCACCCGCTCGCGAGCCTCTCCCTTCCTGCCTGGGGGGGGG